CTAATCCTTTGAGAAAAACTATTTATCCCCAAATATACCCAAAAATCACCAAAAAATTTACAAAAGAACCCAAAACGTACCTCTGTGAAATGGGCAGAGAGACTTTTCACTGCTTGAAACGTGAACGAGATATTTGCATTCAAACCATAATACCCAGCAAAAATATGGCCTTCATGTTAACCTCCGCCTTAAAAGGAGTTTTGGTGCAAGGGCGACAGCAGTCATTTTGAAAATTTTCCATCCTTACAAATATCCTGGACTTGGAGTGATGTCTTTCGAATAAATAAAAATTTGATTCAGCAACTGTCCGCCATGTTTACTTGCCGAGATCGCAAAGGTGGGGAGCTTAGTAACCAGGTCTCAAAAATGTTATATTCACCGCCTGGAACGGTGAATATAGCGTCATATAAGGAATCGCTCGACCAATCAGACTGCTGGAAACTCTTTGTTCAGCTCTGAAATTGTATCAATTTTAGATATAGATTAACTAAAAATGGCTTTGCGGGTCCGAAAAGTTACCCGGGCTTCCGAGAAACGGGCCCCAGCGTTCAGGTTTTCGGACAAAATTTGCAAATTACAAAATTGTTGTTGTTCTAGCTTGTTGTTTGTAACAGTGAAAGGGTATCAATTGCCAGCGGGGTTAAAACATTAGTACCGTCTGATGCTTTTTTAATTGGCTAAAATCTATCATGGAATATACTATTGCTAATTTAAGGCAAAATATTGTTCAATCATCGAATCACAAAAAAGTATAAGGTGGGCGGCTGATATAAGTAATGTCTTTTCATTCACAACTCGCTTTTCATAAGAAAGCTGATCTTGAGCAAACTTTGGTTGGTGTTGTGCCTAGCGGGTGGGCTGGAGACATTTTTTTCGCATCAACAAAACACCTAACACTCCCCAGTCCCCAGGGCCACTATATTATCTCGCCTAAGCTTTTGTGAAATCAGCGCTTTTGACTTCATTTTCAAAGTAGCACCATTTGTATAATTAAAGCATTCATTAAGCAGTTGTGCTGTTTCTTTAACTTCAGCTGGAAAACATTCAAGTTCTACAAGTCACAGGAGACCACAAACAACAACAGGAGAAGGCGTTAGATGCAAAGATGGCAGCCGCCATGCAACAGAGACTCGGCCTACCCGTGAGAGTGGCTCTGAAGGGCGATAACTGTATCAAGCAGGTCAACGCGCATCCTCAGGATGAGGAATGGTCGCTGAACATCAAACGCGGGCTCGTGAACCTGTTCCAGATCGCTCCGCGACAAGTTGATAAAAAGGGCCGTGACAGAGATTTTGTTAATCAGCTTGAGGTTAGAAGTTGATTTAAAGTATAATTTTATTGAAGATGACAGTCAAATGATTATTTATGAATTTCGATTTGATAAAAATGCCAATGAAGTTAATTAAAAAGACAAAAACCGTCACAAAAATTTGATCAGCTTTAGTTTCCTCGTAAGTACATTTTTTTGTCAAAATCGTTGATAACAAAATTGAGACTGGGCTTGGCGAAACTTGAAGAATATGCTAGGCGAATACCCAGGGCTGAGACTCAACCGAGACTATTTCCTTTTAATTTTGATAGAAAATATGACGCAAATAAGATTCAAATGTGATTTCTTGAAATTCAAAATGAAAACGTATCACAATTGTACGAAACGCGGAATATTTAATGAGTATGGAAAGGCAGCCAAAATCGGCCAAACATAGCTTTCGATTACCAATAAATTGTTTGCAAGAATTAGCACTAAAATGTCCTTTACTCTAGGCAGCAAATTTAATCAATGGACTTTTGACATTTTAGCAGTTCATAAAAATTCTCTTGTACATTAGCTTTTTGTTGTTAATCTTTAACTAGAGTCAATAACCTTTGTTGCTATGAGGTTTGACAGCTTTTTATCAGACACAACTCTTTGTCATGACTCGCTGAACCTGTTTTTCCTGTTTTGGCAGACTACAGCCGTGGGCGATTGCCAGGTGTCGTACGCCATTGTGCGTGACAACGGTCAGTCTGACGGAGAGGGTGCCCAACAGTTTGCCAAGGTTACCAAGGTGATCAACTACCAGAAATGCCAAAACCGTCCGGAATTCAGGCAGTACACCTTCAACGCAGAGAAATGCGAAAAGTGTCAACAGGTAATGTGTTGGAGTAGTCCATGGCTTTTTGGTAATTTTGAACAGATCAAGAGTAAAGAAATATCACCATATACGTAGAATGTCCCAGTTTTTCAGTTAAGTTGCCAAAGTCTTTAGTGTGTTAAGTAAAGACAAGCGGCCTTGCCTCCAAAGCCGATATAACAATCCACTACAACTCGTAACTCGCTATCGCAATTCACGAGTTTAAAATGGCGTTAGCATTAAATAGGTTTACCAGAGATAAAAGAAAAAAAAAAGAACATGTCGAAATAACATTTCAGAATAAAGAGTAGCGAGATAAAAACATGACGTTTCGGCGACGACATGTCACCATGCTATGCTTGCTAAGCTATGCTTGCTATTTTACTGATTAAAATTCACATTTGGTCGGGAAATCGTCTAGTTAATGTATTCGGCCCCTGGAAACGAAATTGAGCTGCAGTTTTCCCTCCGTTGTGTTTTCTCGTGAATTTAAAATTGTTCTCAAACTTGTTTATTATTCATCAAGGTTAAACGAAGGAAATCATGGCCGTATCGATGTTTGGATATCTGATCTCAATAAGCACAGATTTTTACGATTTCATTTCTCCATTTTTTCCATAGTTTTAGTTTCGACTGAGAAGATATATCAAACACTCAAGACAGTGTTTGACCACATTTCCAAACACCTCGAAGTTCATAAAAATACTCCACTGTGTATTTTCAACTCTCTTCTCGGTGTTTGGAAATGTGGTCAAACATGGTCTTTCGTGTTATATATATTACGTAAAAAATTGTACCATCGCGCTTACAACTGCTGACCAAGTCGCTTGTGCTGACTTTAAAGAAAGAAAACCATGTCTACTGATATTTTAGACAAGTGTTTAGAAAAGCTTTGAAATTAAATAAGCTAGGTCTTCACTGTCACACCTTCTTCAACAGAGCACTGGCTATGCCCCATACCACCGTTCGGCTGGTCAGATTGAACACACACTAACTGGCTCTGCCAAGGCGGGTTACATAATCAAAACAACACAAGCTGTCGAGGAGCACGTGGTCACTCCATTCTCTCGTTCAGATGGCCAAGTGACCGCTAGAGCCAGGTAAACAACAGAATCCCGTTAAATAACTTCCATATTTACCTTCCTAAAATAAATTGCAGAAAAAAAATATTTTGTCTCTATGGAACCTTTTGCACTCAAACTTTTAATACTAAGTTTGATGTCCAAATTCTGCTAACAAACTTCTGCATTTATCAAACCACATTAGGAAATTTTGGGCTTCAGTTAAGAAATCTTCGAGGTAATCCTATCTTACATCAAAGAACTGTTAAAACTTACAACGCTGTTAAAAATAGTATTAAAAAAACTAGATTTGACAGGACTTACATAATGCGGTGTATATAAGTTAATCATTCTGACGATTTATTAATTAATTTTAGGCTTGTAAAGGAAGTTTTAACTGTCTTTCAATATTTTAACTAGTTTTAGCCAATTTTTGTCACTCCATATTCATTTTATTTTAATATTTCTTTTCAAGTGATATACCTGTAAACTAGCTGGTGAACTATTGTAGTGCACCACCATAGCTAAGCGCAAATTCACATTAAATCAGTGTTGCATCGTAATCAGTGTGTTGTATTACGGTGCCTTGGTTTGTCAGTCACTTCTTGTCTGATTGACTTTGGGTATTAACAATTGTGTGCCAGTTAACGTGTTGCTTTAGAATTGGTGCCTCTTAGGAGTGAAAACAATTTAAAGCCATGCTAACATATCAGGATCTTGGTACCTCATAGGGCTTCTTTTCAAAACTTCCGACGACCACCCCCGTCTTTTTATATGGGAGTCACCCCCTGTGGGGGAGGGGGAGGGTTGAGGGAATGGTTTCCTTTCTGTTGTTCAACTAAAACAAACCGAAACAAGCGACAAAAAAATATGTTTGACGAAATCTTCGTCACGTCATAAAGATCTACCTACTTATACATCCTTCTAAATAGTATTGCTGGTAAAATTCATTTTTCTATCAAAATGTCTGAACTTGTGCTTTGTTTACAACAAACAGGCAATGCCTCGAGTACCAGGGCACGGCTGCAGCTGGGCAAGCTGGTGAGTATAGTCAAACCCTACTTTCTCCTTACAATATCGAGTCATTGTCACGTATTCAGGTGAAGAGAATAAAGAGAATCGTCAAAAAGGTGTTATATCCGTGATGAACCTCCAAATTCTTAGAATTGATACAAAGCAAATGTAAGGCAGTAAGAAAGGAGAAATTTGGATTTGACTAAAAAGCCTCTTTTGCCTTTAGTGGCCACACTGATAAAGGAGACAACTCACAGACTTGTAGTTGAGAATCCTGAGAAACTAGCTCGACAGAACGCTCAATGGCAAGAAGAACTAGCTAAACAGGTAAGCGACCAATCAGAGAGCACTTCATAAAGGCAAAACATCGCTTCATCGGATTTGAATAAATATTTCAAGGCAGTCGCAGTTACAACCAACAATTGAAGTGATCTTAAGGATCTTTTCAAAGAGAAAAAAGATAGAAATAACAATTTTATTTCCCAGATATGTTTTTACACAACAGTTAAAACTTGGCCAGATTTAGAGAAAGTCCTTATCTCTTTTAAAAAAATATTTTGCGTTTTTGAAGCGCAGCAACGCAAAGCTACTTTCAAAAATTTCACAAAATATTAAAAAGCTACAAATGTTTCGTGGTTGACAGTTGTTCAGAATTTCTCCAGTGGTTACGCAATACCGTGATTTCACCTAACTCGATTAGATTTTAAGTTATTCTGGGTGAATTTACCTAATTTTCTGTTCTAATTATCTTTCTTTGTAGCTAAGAGTTTTTCTACTCTGGTGAGAGTGTGTTCTTGTTGTTGTTGTTCTTAGACGAAGTCACGCAGCGAACTACTCCTGTGTGTTACGTGACGATTAGATAACGACAGAGGATGGAAGTGGTGCAAATGTAACGCTTGAGAAAATGATGATTGATATATTAATTCGTTACCATGAAGAGCGTCAACAATTTTTTAAGTGGTTATTAACTAACTTTTCTGGCACTTAGGCGGAAGCTACTGTAACCGATATGCGCGCAGCAATTCAACAGCGATCGGGTCACCAGGCTGCGGAGAAGTTTGCAAACTTGGTGGCGCAGTTGAGACAGTGCAACGAAGCAACTTTGAGGAAACTGGCTGATATGATGCTGGCACGGCAGGACCAACCCGAGGGGTAAGGCAAAATGCGCGCGTTCTCCCTGGGGTTTCATTAGGGAAAAGGCCTCGGGCAAATTGAGCAACTGTGAGGACGATTTTGCCTTCCTGGTCTGACCCTTTAGAGGAAGGTTTTTTTCTCAAAGTGAAATTCAGTTCAAAAAGTTTTGTCCGCAAGTGAAAACCAGTTGTCCTCCTGCTGATATCGTTAATGAAACCCCTGTCTTTCACGTTTTTTTTTTATGGTTTTTTTACTGCGTTTCCAGAGAATCAAAGAGCCTAGAAACAAGAATTTAATAAGGCAACACAAAGAGCTGGGCCGCGTTGTTTAAAGCCTGATTAAGCTAGCCCAGTATTAGCGGGAATCTTGTTTTCAGTGTTGTAACTTTTCGGTGAGGTTTTCTGGTTATATTGTTTGCTCTTCAGTTTTCCGTCTGAACAATCTCAAACTACACAAAACACAAGTGGTGAAAAACATTTTTATGCAGGAAAAATTAATACTTCGGATAACTCTTAAACCTGTGTTGGCTAAACATACACTAGAACTTTAATAAGTTTTAAAACACAACAAAACGTCTTAAACTAACTGTAAGCACTGAGGACTATGTTTCTCCAAGCCATCGTTAATCAGTCAGGTCATAACTATACCTCTGGCCTGGGTTGTTGGAAAGGTGGACTGTAACGCTATCCACCGGATAATTCACTATCATTTTTTTTGTTTCTTTGTTATATAAAACAGGTAGATTCCTTGTTGCCGTGCGTCTTTTCAGTAATGAATCACAGATGACATCAAAATATGATGAGAACAGAAAGGTTGTATCCGAGGCGATAGCCGAGTGTGTCACTGATGTTCTTACCACATTTTGACGTCTTCTGTGATCCATTACTGAACAGATGCACGGTATTTTTACTTGGAATCTATCTGTTTTATGTCATAAAGAAGTAAAAAAATGTAAATCATCAGAACAATTCAAAAAGCGAGAATAAAGTGACTTGCTATGCAATGAAAGATGCATTACATAGTTGTCGTGACAACGCAAACTCTGTTTAACAGGAAGTTCTGCATTGATGCACTGGCCTACGCGGGCACCGCTGAGGCAGCCCAAGTCTTGTGGGAGAAGTTTAAAGAACAGAAACTAAACAAACCAGATGACCTCAAACGAGTGTTCCTGGGACTAGCATCAGCTTCGAGACCCACCGCTGCCCACGTCAATATTGTTTGGGTGAGTGACAAGTAATGTCGTTAACTCAAATATGTTTTCCGATTGGAGGAGAACGTGTCACGTGTCGTGGGTCAAAACTCCTAGGGCGAACAAAAGGGAGCAACAACTTTCGACTCGCACGTGATGAGGTCGTGCACATTGAAACCGCGGCAAATTTATTGTGCCTTCCGACGTCAAGCAAATAATTTTTTCGCAGTTTTTTTTTCTATTTCTGAGTTAGGAGTCTTCACCTCGGGGAACATTGAGGGTCTTGGGGAAACAAAACTCTCTGTTTCTCTAAACTACAGGGCCGGGTTGTTCAAAGCCCGATTAACCTAACCCAGGATTAGCGAGAATATTGATTTGAGTTTTGTAAATTGTCGGTGAGGATTGCTGTTTATAATGTTTGTCCTTCAGTTTGAGCTTGACTAAGCTCAAACTACACAAAAAGTAAGCAGTAAAAAACATTTTTATGCAAGAAAAATTAATACTTCGGTCAGTTAACTTTTAATCCTGGGTTAGCGTTAACCGACTTTTGAACAACCTGGCCCAGGTTTTGATGCCCATGAACTTGATTTGGGGTTTGAAAGATGATGAGCAAGAAGTTTCTAAGAACATTTTACGAAAAAGTTAAAAAACAAACAGAAATACAAAATGACAGACGACTGTTAAAATCTCAACGTGCTCAATGTGAAAAAATCCTTTAGCACAAGTCTTAGACTTTGGCTGAAAAGGAGAGAATTGAATAAATCGGAGACATATCCCCCGTGTGAAACTTTTAGGGAATTGTATGTATAAACCTTGCGAGGTTTGGAGATAAAATACATTCTTTCAAATTGTCTTCAAGATGTAAGAAACTGTTAACTTGTTTTTGTAATCTAGGCACTATGTAACCACGCTAAAGTACACGAGGACGCGTCATGCCGCCGCCAGTGCATGCTGACGTTCGGGGCCCTGGTACACAGGATCAAGCAGAGACCCAGTCTCCAGCAGGACACCAAAGCCAAGGCTGCCTGCAAGGAATGCATCCAGGTAATGCAACACTTCAAGATAGCTGTCACACCAATTTCCCCTCGAATATGACACCCAAAGAGCCATAAATTTCACCAATTACTAAGTTTCACAAGCTCTTTAAATGTTTGTGTCTAGTGAGAAGCCTTCTCTGCGCAAAGTCGTACGTTAATGCGGAAACTGTAAACAGTGACGTCAGCAAATATTCACCTATACTGAGGTACATATGCTAAACTATAACGAGAAATAAGAAAACTTATAGAATTACAATAAACGCGTATATTCACACTAGACTCCCGAAAGCAAAACATTGCAAGCAATACAAGGAGGGTGGTATGTCCTCGTGACGTCGTCTGTGTCCATAGTAACATATTCCCACTAAAATCTTATATCAACAGAAAATTAAGGACCTCCTTGCCAGCGAACAAACCAAAGCGGATGAGAAGGTGATGTACATACAAGCTCTTGGGAACGCGGCAAGCACCGAAGCAAGAGAACAATTACAAGGCATCCTGGAGAACCGCAAACAGGATCTGCGGATCAGAGTGGAATGTGTGTGGGCTCTCAGGCGCATCCTTCCGGCGGCCAGAGAAAAAGTAAGCAATTTAGGCCCTTTCGTAAGAGAGTATTGAAATTTTTATCTTTCATGCAAGTAACAAACAAAGTAACTAATTTTAGTTTTAGTTAACTTACAAGTCTCAGCTAAAAATTTTATGCACTTTCAGCTTTATGCAACACTTGAAGGAATAGCATTTATTTATCGACTTTTCATCACGGAAAACAGAAAGAAGTCATGAATAGTAAAAATAATATCGTGGTTGACTGGTTGATTTGATTTACAAAAGTATAATAATTATATAGAGAAGCAAACAACATTCAGTATGAAAAATAAGAAAATGGTTATAACGAAGCAAGTTAAATTATTACTTGTATTCTTAAATTTATATCTTGTATTTTTTAAATTTTATCTTGTATTTTTAAATTATCACGATGTCTTGTATTTTTAATTATTATATTTTTTAGTCCAGGGCCGCTCTGGATATCAGCCTCGTTGCTGAATGGGCCACCCTGGCTAAATAAAGTTTACCTTTACCTTTACTTGAATTACTTGTGAACAAAACGTAGTTATTTATTTTATCTTCATAATCAGCTTTACATCTCTCTTTTGTTCAATTTCATTTCAGGCTACTCGACGGCTGATTTCTGTCTTTGCTGACGCTAGAGAAAGCCCTGAACTACGCATGGCCATTTTCAGTTTACTGCTGAACTCTGAACCCAACTTTCCAACACTGCAAGCTGTCGCGAACATCGTGAAACGAGAGATTACTAACCCGATCCAGGGCCCCCGCAGTAACCAAGTGGCCTCGTTCGTTATATCACATCTGTGGGCCCTTGCCTATCATAACAACGTTTTGACAAAGAGAAGGTGATTTGTTGATCATTTTCTGTCAAGTCTCTTAAGACAGTGATAGTGGAAATTTTATGTTCCCATAGATTTTTCGGAGGAAAAGATGCAGAAACGAAGATATATGGTTGTGTTTTATAACTGGTTTAGAAAAACATATGTTAGATTAAAATTTAGTTTACAAATACTGCATTATTTCGAATCAGGCTTCCAAATTTTAAAAGGGAACTTGATTGTATAGTAGGTCAGCATTCTATAAGTCGCTTCCGTTAGACAACTGTGCTATGAAATAGCATCAATTCTAGACATGCGCAGCTAACATGAACTGCTGACTGTTGTTTTAGGTCAATGCAGGCTCGCCTAGCCCTCCGTCTAATGCCTAGGATGAGCTATGGACTGGATTACTCCAAAGGAATGCGATTTGCTTATCATTCAGGTAAGAACCTAGTCACTGTATTTAATCTTTTAAAAAAAATGCACACGTGCTGAGAAAAGCACACTGGTGTAACGGACAGTGCGTTAGGCCCTGGATCGAGTAGCCTGGGATGGGCTCGAAAACACTTAGTGTAGGCTCATTGTATTATGTTCTGGGGGGCATATACTGTCCAAGTGCCTCTCTCCACCTAGGAGTGGTTCCATCCGCGAAATTTCGGCGAATTTTTGTTTCGACAGGTGTTGGTGGTTTTCGAATATTCGGCGAAATTTCATCGAAATTTCGACATTTGTGAGACAAAGCGCGACATTTGTTTGCATAACGTTTGCGCAATACTGTTGGTACTGTAAAATTATTGCTAGACGAAATCATTGCCAGGATAAACCAGTATTCCATCCAGTTTGGAAGGGGGGTGGGGTAGTTTAGATAATTCTTCTACTGGGACTACGCGCTGGTTTTTTGAGGAACTAAGCTTCGCGGAGGGCTTTAAGATGTAACAACTAACTTTGTTGATATTTCATGCTCAATAAATAGAAAAGTTTCAAGCCGGATTTGAGTTGGAGGCGAACAAAATGAACGTACCAGACAGCATGCTGCCTCGAAACATGAATGCAAGGATCCAGCTGAACATGATGGGCTACAAGATGAACGCTTTAGAGGTAAATTACTGTGTTAGCGATAACTATGTCATGTATTAGCGATGGTTACATTTTCTCCATGCCACGGCTCACCTTGCACGTGATTTTCACGTTGTTACGACGCGCATCAAAAGTGTGCAAGACTCATTTATTAAGCCATACTTTTCCGTTGTATTCTGTACATTTTAGTAAGTTAGCGGACATAAGCGGAAAACTGAATACTAGTATCTGGCTCCATACAGAAGTTAACAAAAAGCGCTTGGATTTTAATTTCTCCCTACATTATCGAGACATATCAAATGCATAGGTGATGAGAATTAACAAACCTATCATCAAGGCTGAACAAATTGTCGTGAACTAATGTTCATGATAACAATGCAAAGAAAGCTTCCATAAAATTGGGAATTAAAAACCCTTGAAAGAGTTCAAACCTTGCGTATTTTAAATTTTTAGTTGTAGCATTGTGAACAAAAACAAACTGCTCCAGATGAAAATCACACATTTTCGTTTTATCGGCAGACTCCAATGTTATAACAACCTTGAACAACATAATAAACAGCACCATATGAAAGTACTGCTCAGCAGCTTTCATGTGAATGGTCACACACTAGGGGTTGATGCACAGACGTAAAAGTTAAAACCACCTTATACAACATAATAAACAGCACCACATGAAAGTACTGCTCAATAGCTTTCATTTGAATGGTCACACACTAGGGTTTCATCCACAGACTTAAAAGTTAGAGCCACCTTGTACAGCATAATAAACAGTACCACATGAAAGTACAGCGCAATAGCTTTCATTTAAATGGTCGCACACTAGGTTTTCATTCACAGACTTAGAAGATAGAATCACCTTGGACAACGAACAGTACCACACCAGAGTATTACTCAATTGTTTAAGTAATAACCACCTTGCGCAACATAATGAACAACACCAAACGATAAAAATGCGCAACAGATTTCATTGTAATGGTCACACGTGGGGGGTTTCATTCACAGACTTAGACACTACTTAGTAATCGTTTACTCTCCCTTTTACACACATTTAGTTTGGCGCCCGAATCGAAAACATGGATCAAATCATTGAACAAGTGATATCCGAAGTCCGCAAGCGACACAAGCGATCTTTATGGGGTAACATGCTCTTGTGGCTGAACGAAGAGTCCTCAGGTGATGAAGAAGAAGAGGTTAAGAAACCAACCAGGCGTCCCACAAAACATTCGACCAAAGCTACTATCTTTTCTCGACCCTCCGTACAATCTACACGCCGTGCAGCCAGCAAAAAGAGCACGCGACCCTCATCTCGTCCCATGTCGTCGCGGCCCACGGCAACTTATAGACCTTCAACCCAACAAGATCCTTCATCCCCAGACTCCGACGGCCAAAAGGTAAGTGTTTTAAGACGAAAGTCAATAGCAACTCCAATAATATCAGATTTTAGAGGACAAAAACCTTGTACCAGAATAATTTTAGGTATTTTACAGTCCTTTTTATATTTTCCCACAGCTTAAAATATAGTTACCTGAAATAACACAGAAACCAATTCATATGGGAACTCGAGAAAATAAATTTCAAAGTTCAGAGAAATTGTGCCGATACAGGTAAAATTTCATCATCAGTTTCATTTCACCAGTACTTTCAAGTCTTTAACATAAACTTCAAAATTTGTTGTCGACATTTGGTGTTGTTAGAAATACTTTTCTGGGAAGATATTTGTTACTCTAACCTCTGGTGGATTCCTTCTTAAAAAGTTTCTTTTTTTAAATAATCGAATTTTGTCAAATGGTTCATTTTCTCTATGAGACACGATCGCAGGGAATCATGGTAGCTGTATTCATCATCTTGGACTTGATTCCCTGCAGGCGTGTCTCATAAAGTGAATTGGCCATTATTGGCCAATCTGATTGGCTGGGCTACTCGTACACTATCAGCCGTTAGTATAAATCTACCAGCGTTCTATCACAAATGCCGTTCTCTGATTGGCTACGTTTTGCCGTTCTACTGATTGGCTACAATCTAACTGAGTAGTGTAGCAGTGTGCGCATGTTAACAAAATAACAGCCGCTTCTTAGCGTTTTCGAAGCGTCTGTGAAGAGGATTTAGATAAAGGTTTGGACGACTAGTAAATTTATACTAAAACAGTTAGATTATTCGCTCTCGATTTCTATGCGTGGTAATCTCGAGCTCATAATCTAATTGTTCAATACACACACACTCATGGAAGTTTGGGTGGACTCGAAAAAGCTGTGGAAACACCAGCCTGTCAGCTTGTGTTCCCACAGCATTTCCCGTTCTCTCAAACTTCCACTTGTGTTTCTATAACTCGATAGAAACACGGTACACGTTTTCTTTTTCTTGAATAAAATTCGTTCCCCTCTGTACAGGTTTGAATGAGATAATTAACAATTATCTCACGAGCGCGCGTTGGATATGAGTTGGCTATAATCATCTTATATCCAACAAGCACGAGTGGAATAATTGTTTCGTTAAAAACGTCCCCAAATTATAGCAAACTAAACTAAAATAAAATAAAATAAAAATATATACGCCCCCAAAAATCAGGCGTACGTTTACCATATTTGTACAGCATGGTATAATGGCTCATAGCCCGTGATGGCTAAGCCAATGAAACTTTCGAATTGCATTATCTAATGGTCCAGTTTTTAATAATATCTATAAGCAAGAGAGGATATTTATTTAAATAGGAATTCCAAACGCTAAATGTATAATGCACGTTTTCTAGTGCCCTCAACACATGTCGGCTTACATGAAGCTGTTCGGGGATGAAGTGAAGTACATGGAATTCAAACAAGAGAACATCAAACAGTTTGGACAGGGCATTGCTGATCTTCTTATGGGAAAGAGAGATAAAATTGAATACGCTGACGCAGGTAAAAAGCTATCGGTATAACTTCTCTACACCATAAGGCAACCCATAAGGCATTGTAATTGCAATGCCAACACATAAGGCATTGCGTAGCCGATAAAAATTAAAGCAAACATTGAGGCCCCGTCCACACTACGCGGAAAGAATTTGAAAATGGAGCTTTATTTCACCGTTTGGGCCTTCCGTCCTCACTAATCCGTCACAAAAATGAAGCCTTTCGAAAACGCTCTTCAAACTGGGGAAATTTGAAAACGTCGGCTTTGCGTTTCACTGTGGACGGAAAACATTTTGAAAACGAAGCTTTTCGAAAACAATGACGTTACGTCAATCGTGATATTTCCCTGCTCGAGTTTACCTGAAACACAAATCCAAAATGACCGGTGATTGTTGCGCTTTCAAATTTCTCCGGCGTGGTGTGGACGCAGAACATTTGATGCGTTTTCAGAGTGAAACCTCTGTTTTCAAATTCCTCCGGTGTAGCGTGGACGGGGCTTCAAAGCAAACACGGTAGAACTTATCGATAACACGGTGCGAGAGCAACGCGATCTCACGTTCTCAAACTCATTCATAATTCATCAAGCTTAAACAAAGGGAATAATGACGGTGCTTCGCCGTTTTCTCCTTAGTTTTAGTTTCGATTGAGAAGATATATCAAACACTCAAGACAGTGTTTGATCACATTTCCAAATACCTCGAAGTTTGCCAAAAATACTCCGCTACGCGTCGTATTCTCAACTCTCTTCTCGGTGTTTAGAAAAGTGATCAAACACGGTCTGTTGTGTTTGATAGATTACTTGCATATCACAATGGTCGATCAGAAAGACGTAATGAGCCAATCAGAATTCGAGTTCAGCGCGGAAAAATGCGCGAGAGCCAAGTCAAGTGTGATTTTCGTTTGATTCTGATTGGTAAAAAGAAACACAGCGTTTTTGTTTTTCTTTTTGTTTTTGGTTACTCACGGAGCACATTTTCAACTGGGGGCTCAACAAACGAATCACCTATACCAAGTTACTAATACGGTCAGCAGAAAAATTCCCTAAAATACAAGTAATTGAATGTAAATCTAACAATGTGTGTGATTTATTATACCACAGGAATCGTTATTACAACGAAGGGAGTCCAATTTACCCAGAGACTAGAGAAAGCGTTCCAGCTTGCCAATGCCCGTCGTATGGTACCCACCCTGTGCGGTGTCCCCCTTGATTTCCAATATCGATCCGCGGCAGTTGTCAAGGCGACCGCCAAAGCAAACATGGACGTTGAACCATCTATAACCAGCCTTCTACAGTTCCAGAAACTAACCGGCAATGCGGAGATCACACCAAAGTAGGAACTCAGTTACTGCTGTACTGTTGTGATTCTTGTCTTAAATCTATTTCCTCAGACAAAAAAAAAGTCAAGTTTTCTTTGTACGTTTATAGAACTGTACAAACATCAACTTTGACTGATTTGGGGAAAACAAAGTAAATTTCTCCGGAATCTCTCCATCTCTTTAATTCTAAAGTTATTCCAATATTTTCTGTTTTAGCATTGGCGCTCACGAACATCAGCAAGTTGGAATCCACACGCCATACTTACGCATGGGACTACAGGTGAAAGCCGCTGCACAAGCTAACCCTGATCAGAATTTTGGTGTGACCTTCCAGGCTGGCAAGGAATACACCATTAATTATAATCTACCACAACAACAACGTGACATCCTTCACATAAAGTAAGTTCAAGTCTGTTTAATTTATAGGAGAGCACAGAGTACTCAAGCCAGTGGCTGGTAATAGATTGGGTGGGGAATGACTGGGGGTGGGGATGGGGGCGGCAGGACGAGAAAGGCACTGTTTCAGCAACCACACCCAGCTAGAGTTGAACCGCGTTCTGAAGGCGTGTTTCGCCTTAGCAAGACATGAGAATATTAAAAGTTCTTTAAAAAATGCGTGTAATTTCCCTTGACATTTTTTGAGGAAATAACTCACTAAGGACAATGCTAAGAATTCTGCCTGTAAATTCTTTGCTGTGTATGGGAAAGGGGGTAGTGACTTCCTTGCCTCACCCAGCACCCCTCCTTTTAAAGACCTCAGCTGATTACAGCCCAGTAGAGACGGATAATTCGGGTATGATCTGAATACATGCGAAGATGGTGTAAGATGGTGTGGCACTTGAATTGAGTTTGTACTGCTTCACGTGTTAGTTGCATAGCCCTCGATTCACAAGACAAATTATCATTTCATTTCTACTTATAATATCGAGCCATTTTTGAGCCTACATGAATATTTTTCCTCGATTTTTGTTACCTTGAAATGAAACAAATTCTCTGGCCTGTCCGGCTAAAAAAAGCATGGCAATTAAGACGGATTCCGCTCAAAGTTCGAGCAATAAGTGCAAAAAATTATTTACTAAAAATCTTCTCATAGCACAGTAACTTTTGGAACACTATTTAAAACAACTCACTTTAGTTCATTTCTCTAAGTGACCCCGCGATTAAATTCTCAAGCATTCTCGAAAAAGTTAATGTCAAACCTCGTAAGAATGCTTAAAGCGTGTGTTATTGTGTTTTTAACTACCGCGAAACGTCTGTTTTAATTGAAATATGGATAACTTCATGTTCAATTTTCTCTCGCGGGGTCAGCCTGAGAGCTTAAGTCTCGATAAGTTCTTCTTAGCTGCATTCAAAATATTATTATGCCATGAGGTTTCTTTGGTAACTTAATTTTTGCCATTATTGCTCGAATGTTCTGCGGAAATCATCTAACATGTGTAAGTTAAAACTCGGTTTTTTGGTGAAATACTTTTTGCTGCAGATACGACACGCAAGCATATGTCCAACAGAAGAATCCAGAGAACTGCAAGATAACTCATGAGCAGGTTTCCATGGATTTTAAGACGCCTCACCTCAAAAAGGTAACACTGAAATAACTGCAGAATGATGAGTGCCACACTCGTCCCCAGAGTGCCTCTCCCTTCCCACGTTTGAAGGAAAAGTGCCCTGGGGATCAGTTTAAATTATTGCGAAATGGATATTGTCCTATTTGTATTTACGGACATTTGCAATCTCTAAAGCTGGCGTCTTGGAAGTGAAACCCGAAAACAGGCTGGCACCTATTGCCTCAGGAAATTCTTACTCCGGTCTCGGATCTTAGGTCACAGTTTCTTCCTTGATTTGTGAACTGAACTCAATTTGACAATACTACATTCGTTGAAAAATACAGTGCCGTTTTTAAAAGACTTCAAAAGAACGTCTGGAGTCCTAGCGTTCCACAGTTTTGATCATTATGTTCTGAAAACAGAACATGTTTAGATTATTTCTATTAAGTATGTAACCTTTCTAGATACCGTAACATTTTTACCTGGTCTATCTTGTGTTTCATCAATTCAGATCCAAAAGACCTGCAAAGGACAGAACTATTTTGGAGTGCAGTGGTGCGTAGAAGGACAAGTCCCAGACCTTCCCGTGTTGAGGCTTGAGCAAGTCCCAGCCTTCCCAACCGTTGCTTTGACTGAATTGCGCGTTACCATGGCTCCCGCCGCAGACAAACCGACCGCTGTACACTGGAAACATGAGGTGGACAAAAATGACGAGAAAGGTGAGATACTAAACATAACTGAATTCTATTTTTTTTGTGATACGTAAGGTGAAGAAATGATATGAGCCTTTCACGTTTTGTCTGGGAGGCGCGGTGGTCTAGTAGTGCGCTCTACTCCGGATCGAGTGGTCCGGGTTCGAGCCCTAGCCGGGAACATTGTGTTATGTTCCTGCCCAAGACACTTTACTCTCACAGTGCCTCTCTCCAACCAGGGGTATGAATGGTTACCGGCGAATTTAATGCTTGGGGTAACCCTGCGATGGGCTAGCATCCCATCTAGGGGGAAGTAGAAATATTTATAGTCACTTCACGCTACGGAAACCGGGATAGGCTCCGGGCTTATGAGCCACTTGGCTCGTATGTAGACTCTACCTTTTACGTTTTGTACTTCATTTACGCCGTCACAGAGATTCAAGTCCGCGGCCAAATTGACGCTTCCTCAGGAACAGTAGCTCGTCAAATCCCGTACACGATAACTTACACCAAAGCAAACCAGCAACTGGTGATACGGGTGGATGGCACAAAAGCACCCGGATGTGAAAATTGCATGCTCACATGCACTGTCAACCGTCAGACAATGACATTGCAGTTTGGAAGAGGGAAACTTCAGTACCAGGTCTCCGCGACTGGACAAGTTCAAGACCAGGGCAAGACTTTGCGCCTGCAGTTTGATTGGACAGAGGTAACAACTGTCATTAAAACTCGATACCTTGCATTAACATGCGTGAAAATTAACGCGAGATTAGTATATGGATTTAGCCAAGCGTAAAAGTGATTCTCCCATGAAATACTAATCATTTACTAGACACAAAAAAACCTTTAACGAAATTCAGGGATAAGCATTTCACCAAACCGAGTGTGTTGAACAAACTAAACGAGGTAATATCCATAGACACAATTGATATATGCAAATCACCACGCGCGAGTGCAAATCTTGTTGGCTTTTAAAATATAAAATTCTCAACGCAAGATGGCGGAATTAAAGAAATGTTAAGGAAAATTCGTTGAAGATTGATTCATCCAGGATAAAATCAAAAAATGCATTTAGAAGCTGGAAAGTCCTAAAATTTCAAAGACGTGCGGTGTTCAAGTTAAGGACAGCTCCTTAGAGTTCAAAACACAGAGGAGATAAGAATTGGTAAAATTTTCTCGTTTTTTGTTTTGCAATTCGTTCCGCTGAAAGGCTAGGCTCAAAAGTTTCCTTTCTAAACAACAATTGTAACTAGAATTTTATACTAGTTGATGTATTTTATTATTATATAATCTTTTTATGTATAGTTAGGAATTTTTTAAACATGTAGTATATAACACAAGTAATTCAGCTTATAGCTGCAAGCTGTGAGTTTAATAAACGATTTATCTGTCTTATCTCGATTTATCTCTAATAATCTGCAGGTCCCTGAGGAATGGAGAAGATTTTTCTACAACTGGGAGCCACAGATCTGTTATTTGCTTCAGCAGTTCGCTTGGGTGAGGCGATCAGAACAATACACCAAGCAAGTGGCAATTAAATTTGCGCTCACCTCACCGATGACAGCCGATATGAGAATCAAGACTCCGGACGCAATGGCTGAGAGAACTGACCTCGCTCTACCCTTGAGAATTGAGCGTTTTCCTTCATCCCTCCAGGAAATCAAAAATTCCTTCTATGGTAAGACTATTGTTTGCATAGTTCTTTCAAAGTCCTGTGGTGACTGTAATAACTTCTACATGGAATACATGAAAGATCATATATTTGAACTGCGTGAATAATATAAAGGCATGATTGATCATCGCAGTTATACAAGTTGTGAAATTTGACCTTGAAAAAAATTCAGGCTTGAACGGGATTCGAACCCATGACCTCTGCGATACCGGTGCATTGCTCTACCGAGCTGAGCTATCAAGCCAACTGGGATCTGGTCACTTTGAGTTCGTAGTATACCAGTAGATGGTGAAGAATGCAAGTGAATATATGAAATAATAATAATATGATAATTATTACTACTTTTACTACTACCTCTACGATTATAATCATTATTACCATTTTGTTATTATTTATTGGGGTTGAATATCAATCGGGACATCGTCCTGTTTTCTGCTCCAGTTGCTGATGCTATTTTCTTTTCTTTCTTTTTATTGTACATGCAGCAAATTCAATAAAGTGAAAGTATACTTGAAAACGCAAAAAGAGACGCAAAGAGAAAATTTATGGTATTAGCCTGCCTCTCGAAAACAATAGTTGAGAACTTCACATGTTTGTATTTCTTTCTGGGATATTACGTGCATATTGGCTGATTTTCTAAAAAGAAGCTTTGATGGTACCCATCACCACAAACATAGATGATGATTTCAGGCCAAAATGTCGCAGAAATTGACTAAAAGTAGCTTTCATCAGTCACACAGAATTCGAATTTGCAATCGTTTTTTTAATCTGATCCAAGTTCTACCATCGTTTCCAGTATTCATTGTTCTGTATTGCTTATCATTAGAAAATGTGTAGAAGTGTGGTCAATCACTGTCTTGCGTGTTTGATGTATCGTATCAATCAAAAACTGAAACTAAGGAGGAAACAGAGAAATAAAATTGTAAAAATCTATGCTAATTATGATCCGATATCCAAACACCGTCACGGTCATGATTTCCTTTGTTTAAATTGGATGAATTATTAATGGTTTGAGAAATAATAGACCATTCTACAGCTGTCTGTTCAGCAACCTGGCCTTCGAATGGCACCGAGGCTACAGGTGACCTTGTTCTGATGAATATCTCACTGCTTTTGTCGAGTAAATCAAGTTGCTCTTATGCTAACTAGTTGGCATTTCAATGAGAACAGCAGGGAGGTCGGTATCAAAGTGAGGTCACCTCCAGCCTCGCTTGCATTCATGGCCAGGTAACTAAGCAAACAACTGTAAGATGGCCTATTGTCTGAACTCCTGATGGTAATGTTTGCAGCCCAGTGCGAGATGCAGGATGACACCGTGAAGGTCTTTGATAACTTACAGTACAAGCACAACATCAAGGGTGGTGGCTGTCCTTACGTCTTGGTTCAGGATCACAGGAAAGGCAAAGAGTGTAGAATCCGGGTAAGACTGCTATTGTTTGAGATCAAGTAACTCCGATCGAGGCTTTTGGTTCAGATGGAGTCACATTACAAGTCTAGCAACGAATTTGCCTCTAATTCTTCTTGCCTAAGGGTTACACCCTACACCCTATTAAGCTCTATTACTGAATCTGGAGATGAAACCCTAGTGTGTGACCATTCAAATAAAAGCTGTTGAGCTGCACTTTCATGTAGTACTGTTTTAGAATTATGTTGTACAAGGCGATTCTGACCTATGATTCTATGGATGAAACCCTAGTGTGTGATCATTCAAATGAAAGCTACTGAGCAGTACTTTCATGTGGTACTGTTTATTATGCTGTACAAGGTGGCTCTAACTTTTAACTCTGTGCAGTGATGAAACTCTCCCTGTGTCAGGACGTTAAAAATAATTATTACTGTTACTAGCGCGTGATCTTTGACATAAAAGCCATCAATCTGCATTTTCATGTGGTTTTGTTAATTATGCTGTACAACGTGGTTCTAACTTAAGTCCTTGGAGGAAACCCAAGTTTATGACCATTAACGTAAATGCTTTTGAGTATTATCAATCGATATTGTAAAAACAAAGCTGGACTTGGGCGTTCGTAAGAGAAAAAGAGTTGATTTATTATATATATTTCTCCACTAGCTTACCGTAATGATCGACAAACAAGGCCAGAAAACTGTCAAGGCGACAATTCTACAACCGTCCGAAAAGTCCGTCATAATCAAACCAGACCAAACCATTTTGATTGATGGACAGCAAGCGGATTGCTCTCAAAAGGCTTGTGAATTAAAACAGGGCGGAACCACCGTCGCTGAGGTACGGACGTCTGACGGAAAGACTCAGCTTTCAACCGAGGTGAGAACTTCTCTTGCTTATTACTGTTCCCTAGTTAGCTAATGTATTCGTTTCAAACTTGAAGAGCAGTTTTCAATTGGTGAGTGTCTTAAAAGCAAAGCCAAATCAAACACAATGGCCAATCAGAGAAAAGTTAAGCAACACAATGAACCAATGAAAGCTCGAAGCCAATACACGTCATCGGTGCCGAGTGAGGGAAAACGCATGCAGCCAAGACGTGATTGCTTTTGGTTTATTTCCCCCTGATTGGTTGACTAAGAAGCGTGAGTTTTTCCAGCCAATCATGGATGGAGCACAGAAAGTAAGGCTTGATAACCAGCCGGTGCTTGACTTGAGAGAGTCGGAAACCGAACCTAGCAGAAATTAAAGCCCAGCACATTTCCAAACCAATTTCGCCATACATTTGAAACGTGCTCTAATCTGTTTTTGTTGTATTAACTGAGAAATTACACACATACACTCTAAGTATGGACTGAAAATATTTACACAAAACATTGGAGAATTTACAGCGTCAGATAGTACAGTTTTAAGTAACATTTCTTTTTTTGCTGTTAGCCACGAAAAGTTGACGCAGTTCTAACCAAATGATATCTACAAAGGTTTTCGTCCGTTATGTGCATAGAGGTGTACAAATCCAAAAGTAACTCTCTTATTTCTCCTTAAGTCAGGATTATAGAGATCTGTAAATATTAAACTGAGACAAACAAACTTGTTTTTATGGTAATGTAGGCGAGGGGAGCCGTCAAAACGTCCTGCCTTTAACGATTATGTCTTGGTAACGTTTTTCAAAGTCTTTTCTCTTCAGATATATTGACCCTGTGCTGCATTATCTTTTTCAGTTTGGCCTGCACGCTACAATCGAAGGCCAGCGGATCCAGGTGTTCGCCTCGCCTCTTCTGCGCAGCCGTGTACGCGGGCTGTGTGGTGACGCTGATGGAGAGCAGTGGAATGAGTACAAAGATCCACAAGACTGCGTCCAGGAACTGAGTAAATTCATTCAGTCTTGGCAGCAAAAATGTTAAAGGTAATTAAAATTACAATATTTAGAGATGAAGCCACATCAGCCCTAGCTGGTTTTCATCCGGGCCCTATATGCTGGTCGAATTGGAATTTGGAGATGATGGTTTTTGTGGAGGGAGGAAAACCGGAGAACCCGGAGAAAAATCCTCGGAGCAAGGCGAGAACCAACAACAAACTCAACCCACATATGGCACCGGGCCGGAATCGAACTCGGGCCACATTGGTGAGAAGCGAGCGCTCTCACCACTGAGCCATCCCTGCTCCCAAAATTGGAGAGCTTGGGAAATGACGACGGCGACCCCGCGGACAACACCCAGTAAAAAAAAAAAAATGAATCTATATTTTGCCTTCGAATTTCGCAAATGCCTAGATTTGTTGAGTGCGCGTATTGGTCTCAAAACTTGCTCAAGCTAAATATGTAACGCCAACGTTCAATTTCAAATGAAAATACGAAAATTAGCCACCGTTGTTCGCGTTCTCCAAAACTTAGTCATTTCACGTTGTTGTTGTGCAGAGGACGGCAAGAAATGTACAAAGATTTATAACGCACGTGCAGAGCCATTGTCCTACTCATTAAACCTTTGTTTGGTGGCGTTCTCGTTGCCATTACCGTCGTGGTTTGCTACATCAGCTCTTTATTGATTATTTTGCGTTTTATTTTAACGAATAAATGATTCAAGGCAATAATAATTCACTCACTTTAGCTGGCTGAATAAGCTGTCTGTCTCGTAACTGATCGAATGGTATATAATATAAATTTGATGAACACCAATCAGTCAAGTTTGCATTTCTTTTTTTAAATCATTATTATTTTTTATTTTATTTTATTTTTCTAAGTTTCTCATTTCCATTTTTAAAATGTTTCCGCTCAGTCTTAACCAGTTGCAGCCACCCTTGGCTTATAATTACAATTTTGATGTTTTTCGTCATCACTTTAAGACTTTGCATGGAGTTTTCCCTCAATAATGTCTAACTTAATCATGAATTGGCAGAAATATTTACCTTGAGATACACGATTAACTTAGGGAGTTTTCCATTCGCATTTTCTCCGTGTATAATTTTTCTCCATTCCACTGATATTCAATATCCATCCAGTCAGTCGGTCGATATTATTGCTCCTTAAATACTATGTTGAAACCTCTTTAAAATATTACAGCCTTACATTGTCTTTCAATTGTTGTTTTTTCTTCAGAAACGATAAACCAACACCAGACCTGACCAGACCAGCAATGACGACCGGAAAATGACCTTCTCAATTTAATTATTCGCATTTTAGTTTTAGATTTAGCCTGCGTAGCAGACATTTCCAAAGCCACGCAAAGGGAACGAACCTGCGAGCGAGTGCCAAGTGCGAGTTCCCCACTCCTCCCCCCTTCTTACTCACCCCCTCCCCTCCCCACCTCTCCTTATTCTTTGCTTGCCCAAGGCGCGTTCGTTTACTCACTCATCTTGCTCGATCTCCTCGCCTGGAAAATGAAAAGGAAAGGAATCGTGTGCCACGCAGGCTACTTTAGAGTTTGAAATGTCTTTATAAAGACAAACAAACGTTAACATAGTGCTATTTTTTTCTCACTTACGAGCCAAGCTGCTTGGAGCGTTTGAATGCTCTAAGACTATTTTTGCTGTCAGTATTGGGATGTTAAAGTTGTGTGATGGGATAGTCAAATAAATGTTCAAGCATTCATTCTTGTGGTGTGTTTAAATGAAACAACTGCTGGGTCAAGGATAGGAAACGCAAATTGGAAACTTCGGCCCTAAAGTTTTCAAATTCGTCTTTAGTACTTTATATCAGTCTTTTCCAATCTTCGCCATCTTTGTTTTGTTCTGTTCTTGCTTCATTAACGAGGGCCTACCAGGGAAGGTGGCATGTTCCCTTCATCCCTTGAAAATTTCGCCTTTTCTCCCTTGCTCCCTATTAATAAATTCTATTGCTCCCTAAAGTGTTTGTTGAAGTTCCCTTTAATAGTAGAGATATCCCTTGTTCCCTTGAAATAATGTTCCCTTGTTCCTACAAACCCCTGGGAGACCATCATTAACCCCTCTTATGAGTCTGTCCACCTTCAAATTCCCTCCAGGAATTTTTATTCGAAGTTTAATCCAATTATTTAGCCATAAAAGTTTCAAGATTTTCTTGAAAAGGAGTAAGCGATGGCTAAGGGGATCAGTAGATTTGAAACAGACAGATAACGTTTCCTTTTACTTCAAGGAGCTCAGTGACGGTAATTTGAGTTACTGTAGCCCGCAGGCACAAAATTACCTTTAACTTGGACATAACCTGAAAATAGTAGTTTACTAAGATAGAAAAACACCATTTAATAACAATACACCATAAAGGAACGAGGATGGAGAAGATTAACACGGATTACAAACGACGAACTCGAAAAATTTAGGCTAAGCTTTTCAAGACACGCAAACCGTGACGTAGCTCCTGGGAAAATAACCTGGTTTTAACTTCATGAGCTCGCTAACCAATTTTTTTCCCTATTTTATTCCTCCCTAAACTTTCATTCCAGTTCCGAAAAATATACCTAGGGTCTCCCGTAGAACTGGTCTGTTTGTCAGCTTGCATTAGGAATTCTCTCGCGTTTATGTTCAACTGCATAAATTGATGCAAATATGAGATGTTCAATAGCGGCTACCTATTAACACATCTTTCATTCGACATGTTAGCAATATATGACATATATAGATTAAAAGTGTCGTTACGGAAGTTAGGGCTTCTTTCTCCTTGCCAGACATAATAAGTTGATTAAATAAACTTACAGTAAAGTGGGCTTAAGGGCTTCTTAAAAATTTCACATGTCAACATAATAATTTAAATTTGATACGAGTAACGTGAGTTGTTTATTTTTCCTATGAGATCTTTATTTGCTTTACAACCTGCAATTTTCCTGCTAGCAGTGGCGTTATTATTACAACAACCAACGAGATATACCAACGGGTGAAAAATCAACAAAAGAAGATGAAAAATTCAAAAGAAGGGAAATGACTTAAATGGGTTCCTCTTTAAATGACAAACATCCCCTAGAGTTATATTCACATCAATTTATTTTAATATAAAGGTCCATTTTTTAATGCTTCAGAAGCTCCCAGCTGCTACAAAGATTTACAGATAGTGTTTTGTTGGAGTATTTGATATGATATTTATATATCGAGGAAAGCGGAAACACTTTTAGGAAACAATACAATTTTCGTATCACATAACGAAAAGAGAAGCTGAAGATGGCGGCTTTAAACAAAGCCATTTGTGAGCGTCGTTTCAAACAAGTTCGCTCCTTTATAGATTTAGGAGTCAACTTCAATTGGAAAGACAGAGACGGTAAAACTGCGTTAATTCAACTGTGCTCTGTTGAACCAGATTCACTGGCCATTTCCATTGCTTCACGTTTGTTAAAACGAGGAGCGAAAATCGACGTGACAGACAGCAATGGCTTATCGGCCTTATCCACCGCAGTGGTGAAACAAAAAGAAGACATGGTCGCATTGTTCTTGGAAGAGGCTGGGAATTTTGACCTCAATTCCAAAGACAAGAAAGGAAACACGGCGCTATTTCACGCAGCTAAGGTTGGGAATTTTAACATCTTAAATGCTATTGTCATTGCACTGCAGAAATACCAACTCAGTGTAAACGTGCCGAACAATGAAGGAACCACTCCTCTTATACAAGCCTGTATGAACGGGGACATCGTCTGTGCTAGGTTTCTTATTAAGGAAGGAAAAGCTGCTATGAACAACAGAGACTGGATCCACAGAAAGACGGCATTAGAATGGGCGAAAATAAAGGGAATTGAAGAAAGCATTTTGCTGTCAAACGCTGATTCCTCACACGTTGGAAATAAAATGAATGAGAAACTTCCGCAAGAAAACCATTATCAAAGAAGACAATTGCAGTGTCTTGAAAAGGGCGACCAACCGGAAAATGGTTTCACAGGGCGTACGAAATGGGACAAGACATACAAAGATCAGTTTCTACAGGTTTATCGAATTTATGAATGCCAGCTTACAGCGTCGTTTAAACAGGGAAGAAAACCAAAGACCAAAATACTGGAAAGTACCGAAGAAGACGACAATGCGAAAAATAAGACAACCATTGATAGCCCGAAAGGACGAGGAGCCTTCAAAGTCCTGAAGCGAAACTCAACCAATAACATTTCACGCCCATTTCCGTTTCAGAATTTGCAACGTTCCCAGTCCTTCACCGAATTCACAAAACTGTCTTTCCGAGATTCGGAAAGACACGTTTATTCGCCGCCATTTCCGAGAAGTCGCTCGCCTCTTTCGACCCGTTCGCGAAGAGTTCGCCAACAACCTTCGGGATCCGAGACTCGTTCGGTGTTGTCGGGTTGTTTAATACCGACCGTTTTTGAAACAAACGAACTTGATGAATAACTATCGTTTTAAGTTACATTACTCCTTTCAATGGCTTGGTCAGTGTTAAAATTCTTCTTACAGTAGTTCATATATTTTCTTTAGATTATCTCCAGAGAATTAAACATGATTTTCTAATAAAGGGGTATGGCACCCCATTTTTCCATCAAAGCTTTCGTTACGGATTAAAACTACTGAATCACACTGGAAAAAGAAATACTACAAGAACACAGCAATGAACCTCCTTTCTCTCGCATCAAAAGTGTATACGTATTGCCTATGGCAGTCACTGATAAAAGACGTGTCATTTTTGCTTAGATTATTCTATAAGTTACATTATTTTTGTCGATGTATGGCAAATGTTGTTGACAGGAGATTTTGGAGCATGCTCAGTCTGCAGGGGGCTCTATTCCACAAAGTCCCACGAATGCAAACTAAATAAATATTTGCATTTCACGCTAGACTGATCCACGAGTCAAGCTTCGAAAGCCGCGCTCGGAAACCGAAAAACGTCTGCAACACTCGCAACTGGTGATGGACAAAACACTGACCCCTAGTCCATGGACTACTCAAATGGACTACCCTAAAATGGACTACCCCTAAAAAATGCTTTTTCAGATGAGTGGTATGTTAAGAAGCTGCGATTATGTACTTACACTGCACGGAGGATGCTTTTCTTTTCGTTCCGCATCGCCTTCAGCCGCCATTTTGAATAAATATACTAAATAACTGTTGCACACAAAAAGCATAGACTCATATCAAATCAAATATCTTGTTCCCATGTGATTTACTAAACTCATCAAATTCTTCATCTGAGGATTAATTCAAATATATGTACAATCAACAACGTCCAGTTGTAACTCAAGTTATAGCCTGCAGTACAGGCGGATTAGCAGGTTCTAGCGTGACACACAAGCACGCGTGAAGCGCGAGAACGAGCGCGAAGTGCGAGGCGAGATTTTTCTCGCCTCGCGCTTTGCGCTCGTTCTCGCGCTTCGCGCGCGCTCGTGTATCACGCTAGATCCCACTAATCTGCCTGTACTGCAGGCTACTCAAGTTATAAAATGGAAACAGATTTTGTTATTGAAGGTTTTACCTGAGCTGTCCATGCTGGCATGTTCTGCTGACACTTCAAGTGGCTTGAACCTATGCGTTTTCTGTTCAGCAGTTGTTTTATTCAGTATAGTTATTCAAAATGGCAGCTGAAGGCGGTGCAGAACGAAAAGAAAAGCATCCTCCGTACAGTGTAAGTATATAATCGCAGCTTCTTAACATACCACTCNATGGCAGCTGAAGGCGATGCAGAACGAAAAGAAAAGCATCCTCCGTACAGTGTAAGTATATAATCGCAGCTTCTTAACATACCACTCATCTGAAATAGTGTTTTTTAGGGGTAGTCCATTTTAGGGTAGTTCATTTTAGGGTAGTCCATTGAGGTAGTCCATGGACTAGGGGTCAGTGTTTTGTCCATCACCCTCACAACTTGAGAGAGAAGAGCGCGAGGCGGAGAAACATAAGCTTCGCCCCGGGAATTGCGCCAGGACCACCCACAACCGCAATCTCGTTCTCAAACGAACTTGGTCTTCCCAGAGGCGGTAATCCTTTCGGTTAGCACGAAGAAATCGAAACTTCTGGGATAAATTGGAAGGCGAGCCAGCATTAGATACAGCGGTCAGTCTCTGTACGCATGCTCAGAAAGTCAAACCCTTATTGAACTCGAACCCAATCTCGTACCTCGAGTCTTCGTTCCTTACTGCGCATGCTGGCTTGACGAAACGACCGCTGGTCAAAGGGAACGAAGACGCTGGGTACGAGGGTAACTTGAACCATGCGCACAATTAAACGGATTGATTGAGAGACTTAGATAAAGTCTGATTCCATGCTTTTTAACATGCTTGAAAGGTGGGAAATGTAGGAAATGTAGGGAGGGAGGGTGCCATACCTTTTAAAGTTGTAATGGTCCATTTTGGATGGTTTGTACCTACTTTCAATTTCCAGAGCTAGTCGGGTTGTCTTGACAAACTGGCAGATTCTCACAACTGACATTAAAAGAGATCACAGGAAATAAGTAAGGGGAATTTAAATTTCAATCTATTTGTTATTATTACATATAAGTATTAATTAATTACACATTCACTGCATGTACTTAGGGAAACTGATTCTACAGTGACAGCATACAATTCCGCAGGAAACTAAATTTCATTTACTTCAGTTTATTTATGAACACAGCCTAGCAACTGTCCATCAACATGACAATGAAGTATTCTACATAATTTATTAGTTCCCACAGAAAATTATAAGATAAATACTCAATTACAAATTACGTGTGCTCTAAGATGTTCCTTTCTCTATAATAGCACAGAACTTACAAACACTGTCAAGCATTCATTTTGATAATCAAAATAAACACCACAATGTAATCTTTTCTGTCGGTTCTGCACAATATTGTGCAAGAGATAAATTTTCTTCATGTTCCTTTTGAGTTGCTGAAACACTTGCAAAAATTTAGAGGAGATTTAGAATTTGGTGTAAACTAGACTGTTGGCAGCCGGTTTTTTCTTAGGGTCCAATGAGCGTTTATCTGTGAATGAGACAGCAAAATGGCAGTACGGACAAGGGGGTTTGGGTGCTGCACCCATGTCTTATCCTAATCCCTTCTTGTCTAGGCCTGATTTTGAGAGGAAAACGGACAGCTAGCAGTCATGGTGCAAACACATGCCTATGGCTTGTGTTACAAGACATTTCTATTTCTTTTAACTTAAATATATTGCTGCCCAATAAGCAAGTCAGCACAGTCAATGGGCAGTATGTAAGTCTGTTTGTATAACTAGACAGATAATTGATTAATATTATACACTGTCAGTGCCTTAAATATTTTAATTTTATAATAGTTGTGTTTTGGAGATGCAATGTGTATCCCAAGTAAACAATTCCATTAACAAGTCAGTGACAAGTCTCTTGTAGTCAGCCATTTCTATTACGGCCAATATGCAGTTATTATTAGTATTATCTCTTAACTGCAAAGGTACTGAATTTGCTTCCAACATTTGTAGTAGTTGAACATATGGTAAATTAAATAAAGTCTGGGTTATCAAGCAGTAATCCTGCCGGGGTGTGTTATCAAACCAAATTTAGGATGTTCAACAGTGTTTGATCATGTTTGATAACCACATGTTCCATCAGATATCCAGATAATCTTTCTTCCAAGCATTTCAGAATACAGTCAACAGAGCAAATATTCCATAAAGCAAGGCACAAGGATATGCCACCAGAGGCTGCTGGGAGTCCATTGCAAGTGCTGTCACAAATAACTTTGATGACGCCAAACTACACCATCCAATCACAACAATAGTAAGGATTAATCCCAGAGTTCCCTGAAGTGACATGAACAACGAGACACCAGACAGTGCTACCATGGGCAGTAGACAGTAACCAAGGACACTGATGACACACCAGACAGACACTCCTTTCAGACTCATTAAATTAAGAACAACATACATTGCTAAACAGCCCAATGCACTGAAACCATAGATGTAACCAAATTGAACTTTCCCGTGAAGAAGGAGAAATCCTCCGAACGCCAGACAAAATAAAAGAGGCCCTGTCAAGTCAGTGTCATCCATAATGTGAGAATCTGTCGCTTTCAATGGATTCAAAACTGAAAGTGTTTTTTGCCAGATATGTTCGAAATTGATACCTAGTTCCTCGAGTAATGGCGGCTCATCATCAAAATCTGTCCCGTGAGCTTCATCAACTTGTCTTATCCCTTGATTCATGTTTCCTGTATAGGCTGGCTGAAACTGATGGCCTCCATTTGCTGGATAATTGTAACTGTAAAATCCATCGTTACTTCCGCCATATTGGCCGGCATATTGTTTGCCATAGTTTTCATAAGGCCCAGCCGAGGTTTGGTCGTAATTTGTCGAGTAAAAACCATCTTGATAGAAAGACTGGCCTCCTTGGTAATACGGATCTTCGTAATTCGTCATTGATCTCCTAAATCAACTGTTAATCGAAGATTTTTGTAATATTCTCTTTCACGCTGCGTAAAATTTTCGAAAGACACGTTGCTTTAACTGCACATGTCATCGCGCATGACTCTCGCAAACCGCTACTATTGATCGCTGGCGCAGACGATATTTGAAGCTAATTTTTCGCTAATTTTATTATTTTGGACTTTTATTTTCTATTTATCCCAAGAAGAAAGCAAGTGATGGACGTATGGCTGCTAGCAGGGCAAATCCAGACCCTTCTATACGGAACTAGCGTCTGCTGGAGTTTTGTTTATGTGTGTTTAAAGGTTTCACGAGCATGTCTAGTTCACTCGAGACCGGCGCAGATCTTGTTGATAGTTGCAATCGCCGGTTCATCTTTCTTGTACGGATTCCTCAAAACTCTCAAGAGCTTCACTGGCAATGGCACAAATCACCTTGATTTAATAGCGTGGCATAAAAATATAGAACCAACAGACTACAAGGTGAGCGAGTAATTGATTGCAAGCTTGAATGAGCCAAGGTCGGGGCCAATAATTTATTATCCTGAATTCTTAAGCTTAAATTATTTGTGCAGTGCCCATCCCTTGCTGAAGGTATAAACTCCGTTGCAACATACAAGAAGCTGCACCACACCAGTTTTATTGAGTTAAATTTCCCCGCAAACTGTACATGTATGGTGAGAGTTGACTGGGGGAGTCAATTCCACACATTTTGAAGAAGGGCCCGGGAGAAGGGGGTGAGGACTCCTGTATGTCCCAGCGGAGCAGGTTACCACCCCTGTCCTCTCAGTAAGCTATTTTTAGTTCAATTGTTGGATTTGCTTGGATTTAGTTCAATTGTTGGA